GTTTAATGAATGACTCAATTCCCATGAATCACAGACACCTCCCCCCCTTACCTCCTCTCTAGGGATACTTTAGAAGCAGGCTGGCTTGATATTTCCCTCATTTGGGATTAGTGGGAGGGCATGCGCCTGCTGGGTTCAACATTAGATTTCTCTAGCACTCTAACTCACCATGAATTCAGACTGGGCTTCATCTTAATTTCATTCATAAAATCAAATTGATTTCTCAGGAGGCCTTCTTTCAAAGAAAACAGTGAAGGATGAAGGTCATGTCCAGTGATCTCATCTCCACCAACTCATCCATTCACCAACAATAACTGCTGAGTATCTCCTGTATGTCAGACACCTGGGTGGGTGGGTGAGGGGTAAGGAGATGTATGAGGCCATCTCCTGCCCTCACAAACTCTGTAGTTCAGAGTAGACCTTGAATTGAGGTATTGCATCATAGTACTATCATAGGTGGAGAGGTAGAAGGAATGTTAGAAGCTGTCATGTCTAACTCTCCTTTTTCAGAGGAGGCACCAAGGCCCACAGAGCTGACATGACATGCCCTGGATCACCCACTTTCTAAGTGTCTTAGGTGGGATTTGAACCTGGATTTTCCTGACTCTCGATCAGGCATGCTACCTCTCAACACTGCCAATTACTGTAAAGAGTGGGGATGATGGGAGTGATGTGGGGCTGTGGAGAGTCCAGTTTTACAATGCTCGAGGTCCACAGCATCATTGATCCTTTGGAAGGTCAAATGGCTCATCTACACTGCATGTAGTCACAACCAAAAGGTCATGACAATCACTCCAGCAGTATTACTCTTCAGCATCTGTCCCTGGATGGTCCCTTTCCAGGGGACTTTTCCTTTCTGTCCTGTTCCTTCTCTCTCTTATTTTCCTCTGGGACACTTTCCAGCCTCTTTTCATCTCTGAGTAGCTGTTGGCCATGCTGTATGGAGTGGATGCTCCATTTGGCCCTGGCCCCAGTGCCAGGTTATCATTTCAGGATTCTCACTGCTACCTCTCTGCTTCTAGAAATTATGAGAATGCTGCTGGTGCTCATGAGAGCATGGCAAGCTGCATAATAGGCTCCCTCCGCCAGAGCGTGGGTCCTGGAGGGCATGCTCCCCTGTTCTGATGAGAGGATTACAGAGGCTTGATAAGCAGACCTCATGAGATGGATTATCCCTGAGAGTTTGGTGGCAGGAAATGAGCAGGAGCTTAGGTAGAGGAATCAAGTTGCTCCAAATGTCTTCCACCTGACTCTTCCCCACTATAACCCTTTTTCCTGACCAAAAGGAAATATTTGCTTGTCAGTGAAACACAGACGTATCAGACAGTCACTGCAGAGACACTTGCTTCGCATTAATATGAGTTTAGGGAGGGAAAATATAGGGACTAATTTCCACCACTGAGCCCAGAGCTCAGAGCCAAGAGCAGAGGCTCTTTTCTTCTCCCAAATGTCACTCGATTGTTAGACTTGTGTTCTTCTCTTGTCTTCAGAAGATGCTGTCCACAGATGATGTCAGCTTGCTAAAGTCAACAGGGCAGGGAGCACGCAGTTGTGGCCTTAGGAACTTTGGGCAAAAAATGAAAGGGTCATGTTTGTTTCTGTCCAGTGCTACCAAAATTAACATTAATAATAACTGTCCTTTTCTGAGCATTTTAAAGTCAAGCCTCTTACAAATAATACCTTAGTTGAATCTCTTGGAGGCTAGTGAAGACAGAAGAGGTAGAAGGATAATAGATTCAAGCTCAATGGGGCCTTCAAAAACCTTCAGTCCAAACCCCTGTTTTAATAAGCAAGTTCAAGAAATGCTTTTTCACTTACTCATTCATTCATTTAGCCCAATCCCCTCCTCTTACAGTCAACAAACATTTACTAAGGGCTTAATTTGTGTCAGATACTAGCACAGTGTCTGTAAGTAACAGAGAATGAAACTCTCTGGATAACAACAAAGGTAAAAAGCAGTCCCTGCCCTCAAGGAACTACTCCTCTAATGGAGGGGAGAGATTGCAAACAGCAATGTTTACAAGAGGTAAAATTGAGCTGAGGCTTGGGGGAAGTCAGGGAGCTCAGAGACACTAGTGATGGGGCAAAGCATTCTAGTCATAGAACACAAAGACTTTTGCCAGTACAAAGGGTCCTGATGAGCTATATGGGTCACCTAGGAACATCCCAAAGGTATGATTCCAGAATCATGGAATCGTAGGCTTGGAGTAGGTGGGGTCCTCAGAAGCCATCTTGTCCAGCCCCTTTGTTTCATAGAGGAGGGAGCTGAAGCACAGGGAAGGTGAGTGGCTTGCCCAGAGTGAGTGACGTAGGTAATAAGTGCAAAAACCAAGATTCAGAACCTAGATCCTCTGATTCCAGATCCAGCATTCTTATCTGCTGCATTCTACTTGTCTCTTTTCTTCTTCAGAACATTTTTGTTTCTTTCTCAGGGACATATCTGGGTGTCAATGGAGGAATGCCCGATGAGCTCCATGTCACGGAACCTCCTATGATCTAAGCCCTCAATCTTATTTTAGTCCTTGTAAGAACCTGGATTGGGGGATGTTCTCAACTGATTTGACCTTCTAGCCCACCTGCCTCTCCCTGGTGCCCAGAAAAGGGTTCTTTTTGGTATTTAAAATTTTAACTTTCATTTCCAAATTTTCTCCTTCACTTCACCCGTCCCTCCTCTACCCATTGAGAAGGTAAAAAAAAATAATATACCCATTATACATAAGAAGTCATGCAAAACATATTTCTACATCAGCTATGTTCTGATAAAAAGGGAAAAATTATGCTTCAATCTGCATTCTGAATCCACCGATTCTATATCTGGAGGTGGAGAGCAATTTTCATCTTGCGTCTTTTGGAATTGTGGTAGGTCTTTGTGTTTATCACAGGTACTAAGTTTTTCATAGTCGATTATCCTTACCATGCTTCGGCTGTGGTATAGATTGTTCTCCTGGTTCTCTTCACTTCACCTGGCATCAGTTCATAGAAATCTTTCCAGGTTTCTCTGAAAACATCCTGCTTTTCATTTCTTATAGCACAAGAGTGCAACACACACACACCTACACACATATACATATACATGTACACATGTATGCTTGTATATATATACATATATACACACATATATGAACATCTATGTTAATATATGGACACACACATATAAAGAATATTTATAGATATAGATATATAAATGGATATACCTATATAAAAGGTCATTATAGAAAGCATATATGTGTATATGTATACATGCATATATGTGTATATATGTGTATGTGTGCACATGTGTGTGTATGTGCATGTGTGTGGACATGTGTGTGGTTGTGTGTGGGTACATAGGCATATACATATACAAATACATATACACATACACACATATGTCCTTTTCCTCAGAACTGGGTTCTGAAGCCTAAACTCCCACGGGAGCCAGCCCTGTCGCATTTCAGACCAGTCTGGTATCTCTTTTATTTGGGAAATGTTTGTTCCATCATTCAACTACCCAATGTGTATCTGGTTCCTCCCTCCATCCAGGAAGAGAGCCCAGTGTAAGAAGCTCATCCTAGCCTCTTTGGCTAGTCCCTTTCCCTAACTTTGGACGCTCTTCTCCTAGGGTTGCTCAGAGTGAGAGTGACCTAGTTTCCATCCCGACTAACAACCACGGTCTTTTCTTTCTCAGTTGTCACAGACGAGACTCTGAGCTTCATTCAGAAAAGCAGACGCCTGCTGGTTGTCCTGAGTCCAAACTACATCCTCCAGGGGACCCAGAGCCTCCTGGAGCTCAAAGCTGGCCTAGAAAACATGGCCTCTAGAGGCAGCATCCACGTCATTTTAGTGCAGTACAAAGCGGTCAAGGAGACCAAGGTGAAGGAGCTGAAGCGGGCCCGGACGGCGCTCACAGTCATTAAGTGGAAAGGGGAGAAGTCCAAGTACCCCCAAGGCAGGTTCTGGAAGCAACTGCAGGTGGCCATGCCTGTGAAGAAAAGGTCTAGTTGGTCCAGCAGCGAGGAGCAAGGCCTCTCCTATTCTTCCTTAAAAAATGTCTGAGGGCAAAAGGGTCGGGAAACATCTGCCGAGAGATTGACCCCTGTTTTTTTTGCTTTTTTGGGTCAGATATAGGCACACTTTTGTGTGAGAGACCTTCTGGGATTATTGTTCCCCCACTTTCCTACCCCCAGCAAATATAAGAGATACGATGCGGTTTATTTAGGACGAGAGGATTTGAGCAGACACTTGGTCCTCTGGAGATAGTGCTGTGGTTTAAGATGACTGTTCTCAACCGGCAGGCATGGGACCACCCACGGGCAGTGTCTAGGAAGGGTCCTGGCTGGTGGGAGGCCTACATCTGAGCTTCCCAGCCCAATTTACAAAAAGCACATCTTTGTATTCCATCTCTGCCCCCCTCTCCAAGGCAAGCTCTTCCCAGACCTCCAGGGACCCCTTTTTGAAATAGACAGTCCAGGAATGAGTGTATGGCTTGCTTCCTCATCTTTCTCTACTCATCCTTTAAGAGGAGGCCAGGACCATGGACTCTGAAAGAACACTCAAAGGCTTGACTATTATAGTCTGCCCTATGATACATCACCCACCACACACCTCCCTAACCTAGTGCCTTTAAAAAGTCTGATCTGTGAAACCAGTGTGGCTGGGGATGCTATACTCCTTTACTGATATTACGGGGCTGGCACATGCATCTCCAACTCCCCATCAGCCACAGGCAAGGGCTATTCTTTCAGCAGAGCTGGAGTCAGAGCTCTTGTGACTCACACGTCTAATGGTGCTTTCAGGTTTCCAAAAACCTTTCCTTACATTTTCTCCTTGGAGCCTCGTAGCAACTGTTAGTTGGCATTGTAGACATTATTATATCCACATTACAGATGAGGGAGACAGAGGTTCAGGTTAAGTGGGGTAAAATCAGGACTCGAATCCCAAACTCCAATTCTATATCTGGTGCTTTCCCCCCTTATACTTACTGACTTCCTAGGGATGCACTAATAATTTTGTTTTTATTTTTGTCCTGTTTTTTTCTGTTGTTAAAGGCCAGTGACTTCTAGGTACAAACTACTGATCCTATCTATAGGATCCCTAGATCCTACTAGAAACCTACTATGGATTCTGAGAATCCAGGATAAGAGGATTCTAGACAGAGTTACTTCTGTCTAAGAAAAAAAAACACACACACACAGCCGTCTTCCCATGGTCTTCAGTATGGGGACCTACAGGCCATCTTTTCAAGAGGTTGTCTAACTCCTCAAATACATCCCCCTATCGTGCACTTTCTCGTCCACTTAGAGGAAAGAATCCTACCTTCCTTCAGCCAGTGCCTCCTAGCTCAAATTGCCTTTGGAAAGTCACTGGTGAGAAAAGAGGCATTTCATGGAAAATGCAATGTTTAAAAGTCAGCAGCAAAACACACATATATACACACGTAACTCCACATATACCCAGAGCACCTTCACCAGAACATGGGAATAATAGCTTTAAATATAAACATGCACATACATGTATATAAAACTACTATATATGTATATATATACATATATAACATATGTACACATATATGTGTGTATGTGTATAAGCACTTTGCTTCCCATGTGCTAAGTATTAAGTATTATAAGTAGGATTATCTCCAGTAAAGAAAAAATGTATTTGGGGAAAGAGCTTGACCAAGCTCATATAGGTAGAAAGGAACAGGTCTGGGATTCTGACCCAAGTCCTCCACTGCCAAATTCACTCTGCCTGCTTTCTGTGACAGCACAGAGACATAGCAGGCGAAGGAGCCTTTTAGCCAATTTTGGCAAAACCCGTAACTTGCATTTTTGTGTTTCCTTGTCTCCTCAAGGATGCTTTGGTGAGCATTTGACTCCCACCTTGAGCATAGGCCATCAGTTCTGAACACCTGGCCTCCCATCACTGCATTACTGTGTGTAGATGACATCATCTTCATTTTGATGACTTGTGCCACATCCAGGACTCTCACTGCCATTAGGAAGGATCGTATCAGCTAACTGACCCTAGATGTGGACTGAGTACTTCATTTGTGCTTAGCCCTGGAGAAAGGAGGACAAATATATCCCCTGTATCCGAGGCCCAACTGTCCATCAGTTATCAGGACAGGAGTGTATTGTACACCCTTCTCTTGATCTGTTGACTCAAATGAACCTGCTAAAATTCTCTGGATAAAGTAGTGAGCCTCGAGTACCCACGAAGCAGTCTGCTCCAATATTCCAGGTGTCCTGACCTCCTTGGCATTCTGTCTCTGCTGGTTCTGATCCTGGGATTGAGCTCGTCCAAATGCTGCCTCTTGAGGCTTGCTACTGCTGGTGCTGCTGGTGCTGCTGCTTGTAAAGATACATTGAGAGTCTGGAATCTAATTTCCACCCCAAAGAGGGACAGGCAGAGAGTGGGGACGTGTATATGCTTTGGAGGAGATGAGGATGGGGATGGGAGGAGGGCAGTCACAAACAGGAAAAGGGCTTTTCTTTGTGAGGAAAAGGTCTTTCTCAATCCAAATGGAGCCAGAGCCCTAGAGAAGATAAGTCATTATGACAGGTACCATAGACATGAACTACTTTCCCTTTTGTAACTTAGCAGAAGTTGACAGAAAGCTAAATCTAATCTGAAAGGTAGGTTATCGGTTCAACTCAGTTTTACTTGTTCATTGAATATTTTCTTTCTGTATGTTTTCATATTTTGAGGTTTTTAAAATCTCTGTATTTTTGTACTTTTTCTGTTTGTTTTGTAAATTTGCTTATTTTAAAAATAAACCATTTATTTTCCATTTTGAATTTTAGTTTGTGCATATTTCTTTTCTTTTTTTTTAAGTTTTCTTTGGGGCTTTAGGTACTAAGATGAGATCAACCCTTCATGATGGCATGCGATTTGTAAAACATAAGGGAAAAAGTTTCACTTAAGGAAGACTTTTGTACCTGGGGCATGTCTGAGAACAAGAGTGTTGGTCCTGCTGGCCAAGAGATATTACATAGGAACATGCAAGAAAGCAAAGTTGGAGATGGCAAGTCTGAATGCCAGGGCAGCTTATAGATTCTTTGTCATTTCATGGACTTTGAAAATGCTATCTTAAGTTGTGTCAAATGTGGCCAGCCTCAAGCATAACTTTCTCTGCTTTCTATATAAATTAGCCAAGAGAGTGGTAAGGGGAAAGATAGATCAAGGAATCCATCTCCTGCATGCATTCAACAAGCTATTTCCAAAAGCAAGTTGTTGACGGCCCCATTAGTACTTAGAGTGGCAGGATGGGACCTCAGGGCTTCTGATTCTAAGGTGAATGCTTTCTCTAGAACATTACTGCTTACCACCCTTTTAAAGCTTACCTCCCATCCCAAACCATGATGTCAAGATTTAGACTCTGTTCTAGCACTGGAACTCATCTTAGAAGCCATCTATTCCAACCCATTTATTTTACAGATGAAGGAATGATACCTAGATCAAAGAAGTAGTTTACCCAAAGTCAACCAAGTAGCAAGTACATGGGGATTTGAACCCAGGGCTTACGAGTACCCAAAAAAAAAAAAAAGATGGTCACTCATACAGATGATGGAATGCTCTATTCTTTGTGCTTTGATTCAGATCCCTTCACCCTAGCCAATTACTTTCTCTTTTGGGCATCACTACAAATTCTTTCCTTCATTGAAGGCTGCTCAGGCTTCTTTGGTTCCTCACCACTCAATCTCCATGCTTGATGCTCTGTGTCCTACCCTGGAGACCCAAAGTAGTCCCAAGGATGAGGCAAAAGATGTAAGTGACTCAGAGGCATGTTCGTCTCCACCAGATGCACACGTCCAAAGAAGAAGATTTAAAGAGAAAAGCTGTCATTCAGTGACAAACCCTCACAATAAAGAAGGATTTTTAAAACTCTCTAGTCAAATTGTACCTTCTACCCAGGTAAATATCCTGCCAGACAATTCCGCCTTCCACCCCATCGATATTCTGTGCACTCAACATTAAAATGCTAGAGAGATTTAGGGTTGCTATCTTTTCTACAGCTTGCCCGGGTAGCAACTGAGAGGATGTAACTAGAGTAATCTCCATGGTAACCAGCAACAAGACTAGGGATGCTTGGAAGGGACAGCACAGTCTGGTGATAAACAGTGCCCTCAACCAGGAATCTGCACTTCCAAGCCAGGTTAGGAGCTCACATACAGAATTCAAAGTCTTGCTTTTCTACTAATTCACCTCATCCTCCAAAACACATACACGTGCACACACACACGTACACGCACATACACATATTTTTTAAACCACAAATAATATTTACCCTGTTTAATTCCCCATCTCTTTCACCAGCTTTGGCTCCAGCTAACTTTTGGCTGTTTCCAAAATAGCAAATTGGTTTTGAAAGACAGAGACTCACTATGGTTGAGGTTTTTGAAAGAGTCTCAGGATCATTGCAGGCAGTACTTAAAGATGAAATCTGAACGTGTTTTAAATTAGGATAGCATCTTGTAACAAGTGCATAGAGACTACTTAGAAGGCAGCAACAGCTTTGAATACCTACATCCAGACATGTTTGTTGAGAAACTCTGTCATGTTTCATACAATATGGGTCATGGAAAATATTTTTTTTTCTATTATGGAAACCACAAAACACATTTACCAAGTGATTTATTAGTTACTCGATAAACATTTAGTAAGTGACCACTGTGTACCAGAACTGTGCCAAGCACTGGAGATACAACAAAATGCTAAGAACTCAAGGAGTTCATAGTCTAAATGGCGGAGACAACATGGAAATAACAATGTACAAAAAAAGCTCTATATTGGAATTAATCACCAGAGGAAAGAGGAAATCATTCAGAGGGCTCAGGAAAGGGTTCCTACAGAACAAGGCTTCTTAAACCGTTTCCACTAGTAACCCTTTCAGGATTTCTTAAAGTGTGGGTTGAAACTCCATAGAAAGTAAGCTTTTTGCTGGGACTTGAAGGAAGCCAGGAAAGCCAGGAGGTAGGGATGAAGAGGGTCAGCATTGCAGGCATAGGGGACAACCACAGAAAATGGCTCAGTGAGGTGATGGAGTGTCCTGTGTGTGGAACAACAAGGAGACACTGGGTCAGAGTATGTGGTGGTGGGGAAATGAAGCAAGGTTTAAAGACAAGGAAGGTTTGCAGGGTGAGGGCAGGGGGTGCAGGGTTCAAAACCACTTTGAAAGTCAATCAGAAAATTTCATGTTTTATCCTAGAGGAGATAAGGAGTGGCTAAAGTTTACTGAGTGCCTGTGTTCTTTTGTAAGATCACTTCGAGTGGAGGATGGACTAGTGGACTAGAGTGGGCAATTGATTCCTAACTGGCAGCCCAACCAGTAGGCTATCACAACAGTCCAGGTGTGAGGAGATGAGGACCTGCACCAGGATGGTGGCAATGTCAGAGGAGAGAAGAGAGGGGATTGGAGAGATGTTACAAAAAGAAAACTGATAAGCCTTGGCAACAGACCGGATACAGGTAGAGAGTAAGAGAGTGGGAAATTGGGGATGACACTGACATTGTGAGCCTCAGGTGCTAGTCCATCTAAACTAGAGGAGATAGGGAAGTAGGAAGGAAAAAAGGATATTTGGGAGGCAAGAGGAATTTTAGGCTGCTCTTGTAGGATATTAAAAAAAATGCTTACTGAGATATTATGCACCCACCCCAGCCCCCATTATGGGTAGGGCCAGCCAACAGGTCTTTTGCTAAGCATGCGTCTCTTGAGCTGTCATTAATGATTCATGATCACTCCATTAATTGGAGAGAATTAATTTGATGAGCCACCTCGCTCTATTAAATCCGTCAGCTTCCTTGTGATCCAATTACCTGTAACTCATCAGCCTTCATTTATAGGCATATCAAGTATGGGCCTGAGGTCATTCCTTTCACTGATAACAACTAAAATGGTGTCTTTGGGATCAAAGGGACATTTGTCAGTATGCTTTTTAAAGTGCTCCATGTTTTTTCTTTAAACCCTTAGAAGGGATGACTTTCCTAGGAAAAGGACAGTGCATTTTCTAAGCACTGAGCTAGCAGGTTCCACTCCAAAGTAAGTAATAGTACTTGACATTTATATGGTTCTCTACAATTCACAGAATTCTGTGGGAGCATTACCTCACTTGAGGACAGTGGCAGGTCTGAGAGTTGGGTATTGCAGATATGGTTATTATCCTCAGAGAGGCTGATGAAGCTACATTCACATGCGTCATTGCAGGTGAGGCATCTGAAACTGAGAGGCAGTAAGTGACGTGCCTATGGCCACCCAGCTAGAAAGTATCAGAGACTAGCTTTAGTCCCAGGATTGCCCTGACTCCATGCCCTGCACTAATCCACTGTAGAATATGACCTCTTCTGAAATGGCATTTAGTATCCTCTCTCTTCCTGGACAGTTCCGTTTTCTTTCCCCAGATTCAACAGAGAAAATGTCTCAGTTGAGACCCTGTCTTTAGAGTTTTGAGTTGTAATCCCACAGCCCCAATTATTGCTGAAAAAATATTTTCCTGGTAGATGGGGGCTAAATGGACCCTTATGGTCTGTCCTTAGGAGGCATGACATATTTATTGGGCCTTCTCTATCTGCGTATGTCAACAGATGGATATGCATATATTACACACATACATACACACATGTACATGTAAAAACAAATGTACATACATATATACATATACACACTATGCATACACACACACACACATATATATATATATACACATACACACACACTTACACATACATCTACCTGTAAAAGCAACAGATATAAAACATAGGTAAATACCTCTATTTCACACAGATATCAAATATATGTGTATATGTATACTCTATTGCTTTTATATTCACTCCATTTCACTTCTCCCCCACTCTTCTCCATGGGACTCTCCCTTGTAACATAGAATAAAAAAGAATGAGAGGAAAAAAAAACATATTTAAGCCAAACAAGCAATACGCCAACTATCTCTGCCAGTATATGTCAAATTTCATACTCTTAGTCCTTTACCTCCTTAAAGAAAGGAGTTGCATTTTCTTGCTTCTTATCCAAAGCCAAATTTCGGCCTTGTGATGGCTGTGTATCCTTTTGGCTTTTCTGTTACCCTTCTCTCTCTTTTTTACCTTTCTCATCTAGACACTGTAGAAGCCGTTTTCGACTTCATTCAGAGAAGCCGGAGGATGATCGTGGTCCTCAGTCCTGATTACCTGACAGAGAAGAGCATCAGCTTGCTGGAGTTTAAGTTGGGGGTGCTGTGCCAGAACTCCATCGCCACCCAGCTGGTGGTGGTGGAGTATCGGCCTTTAGAGCACCCACACCCTAGCATCCTCCAATTGAAGGACTCCGTCTCCTTTGTGAGCTGGGAGGGCGAGAGGTCCAAACGTCCGGGCTCCCGATTCTGGAAGGCCTTGCGCTTGGCTCTGCCTTTGAGGAGCCTGAGTTCAGGCTCAGGCTGGAATGAGAGCTGCTCCTCCCAGTCAGATATCAGCCTTGATCATGTCCAGAGAAGGAGGGGCCGTTTGAAAATGCCTCCAGAGCTCCTGGGTTCAAGGAGAACGGCAGGGGCAGCTCCAGCCACCCCAGGAGCGGCAGCCAAGCACCATGGCAAGGCCTCAGGGGCTTGTCGGTGTTGTGTCACCTACTGCAAAGGGGAGAAACCACTCAGAAACAAGAACCGAGCAGAGGCTCCCACCCAGACGCAATGGGAGACTCACCTTTGCAAACCTGTCCCCCAGCAGGTGGGAACTCATTGGGTTCCAAATGGTAACAGACTGAATACTCCAGCTCCCCAGATCTCAGCCCTTGCTCTTCATCATTTCACAGATCTCTCCAATAACAATGACTTCTATGTCCTCTGATCCCAAAGTGCCCTGGGTGAAGCTTTCCCTATTTGCCCCGTTTCTTTGATGAACCAGTGGGAAAAGTGAACATTTGGAACGACAGAGTGGGCCAGTCAATGGCGTCTTTATTGCTACAACTTCTCATTTGTTCCTAACCAACAAAAGGCCTGAGGGGCCTGGATTCATTCCCAACAACCTCAGAAGACCTTATAGATCATCGGCTGGCGTGAGAGGTTTGTTCTGAGTATAGCACTTTAGATCCTACCCTACCACTCACAACCTAAAGCCTGAGCAAAGATTTCAATGAGTTTTTGGTGAGCCCTTTCTAAAGACTCCATGCCGCGAGCAGTCGGGTCCGTTTGGGCTGTGAAACATTCAAGGTGGGTCTGCCTTGGAAGTGTACCTGAGGGAGATAATGGTGCCTGGTAAAAACTATTTAAAATAGAGGGGGAAAGCAAAACAAAACAAAACAAACAAACAAACAACCTGCCAGCTGCTGGTCCATTCTGCCTCCCCCTCCCTCAAAGCCCCAGAAGCTGAACGTACACTATCACCAAGAGAAATATTTCCTCCTTTGCACAGTCATGTGCCCTAGACTAGCCAATGATTGTGTTAATAAAGTTCTATTTTTATGGCCTTTAACTTGTTCTAAACATACGACTTCACTCTTTCCTTCCCATATGGAGCTGTTTAAAATTTATACCAGAATTCATTTCCTTCCCTTTGGGGACTGTTGAAATTGGAGTCTTTTAGTAAGTCCTGACCCAGTTCAGGACTCAGAAGAGTGCAACAATCTCATTTAAGCACCAATACTTTGTACATTAAGAAGTTCAGGAATGGACCGGTGCTGGACAAAACAGAAAATGGAAAAAAAAGTGACGGAATTGACCTGAAGACCCCTCAAATTTGGAACCTGGACATTGAAAGAGGCAGATTCAATATAACTCTGGAAAGAACTTGTGACTTTTCCAAAGATAGCCCAGCCTGCCCAAATGTCTATAATGTAAGAATTCCATATATTCCAAAGTGCCTTTTCCCACAATCCACTTGGTTTTTAATGGCTGGATTCTTAGGCATGACATAGCATGTCTCTAGGTTCAGAGATTCTCACCTGGGAAATTGATGACAGGTTTTCCTGGATATTTTCCTATGAAGAATTATGGCTGGAGAACCCTAAAAGGGTGCACTCACTTAGGAAGAATGATTTCTTGTTGTTACAATGTTTAAAAAATGTAAAGTATGTTTTGAAAAATTGCTGATGGTGAGTTTTTTTCCTTTATATAAAAACTCCTTTGCTTGATAGCAGAAAAGCAGGTAAGTGGGAGATCACAGGTGACAGGAATATAGGAATTAGGTGTGGGTTCTCTACCTGTGCATGACTCACAGAGAGTGGAACAGCTTTAAGCTCCCTGTCAACCTGGGAGTGCCAACAGTTTGCAGGTATGACTGAATTTGAGTCCAAGCCTGGGAGACTCATACAGGAAGGTAATTTATCAACAGAAGTCATAGACATAAGAATTCAACAACAGCAACCATTTGTTAAGTACCTACTATATGCCAGGCAGTGTGTTAGAGGCTATGAATACAAAAAAAAAAAAAACAAAAACAAAAACAAAAACAAAACAAAACAAAAACAAACAAACAAAACAAAAGAAACAAGCAAAAAACCTCTGCCCTCAGTCAGCTTACATTCTATTGGTAAGAACAGCATGTACACATGTAAGAAAATACAAAATAATTTGAAGGAGGAGTGCTATCAACAGGGAAAATCAGGAAAGGTCTGTATAGAAGGTGCCACCTGAAGGAAGCTAGGGCATCCCTGAGGCAAAAGGGAGGAGCAAGAGCATTCCAGGTATGGCAACACTCTGGGCAAAGACCCAGAGCTGGAATGGAATGCCATGGGCACACTTCGGAGGAAAATCCCTGGGGTTTAAAAGGTGGTCTATGTCAGACACTAGTGGCTTTGTGGAATAGTCAACAGTATTCCAAACTTGGAAAGACAGATGATAAGAAGAAAGATAATTTCCACCTCATGCTGTATTCCTCCAGAATACCATTGTGTGTGGAAATGTTAAACTGGTTATTCCAGGTCCTGACAGAGCAATTTCCCTTGATCAAAATGCAGCCGTTTTTATGGTTATACAAGGATGTAAATATTAGAATTTACAATATCTATCTCCTTGCCAGTGCAAATAGCTGCCATATGAGAGACAATTGCATAGATAGTGAGACAGATGGGAGAGAGAGAAAAAAGAAAGGAAGAAAGGAAGAAAGGAAAGAAGGAAGGAAGGAAGGAAGGAAGGAAGGAAGGAAGGAAGGAAGGAA